CCTCCCTCATCCTCCTGTGCCTCCTCCTGCGGGGGTCATGGCACGGTCACCGTCGTCGTAGTCGTCGGTGATCGTGACGGGCCCAGTGCGCTGCGCCATGACTCCCTGCGCGACGCGCCGTGCTCGCATCCCAGGCCCTCCTCCACCTCCTCCTCCTCATCCTCCTCATGGTCATCCTCCTCCTCCTCGTCCTTGTCATGCTCCTTTTCCTACTCTGGTGAGGCAAAAAGGTATCGATAACGCTACTCCCCGGACCTCTCCTGGGCTGCATCCTGACCAGAATTCTAAAGAGAATCCAGATGTGACGACCACGGCTCTCCAGGACAAGCAGCGATATCCGTATAGATTCCTCCTCTGATCCTTTTCCTCCCTCCTCCTCGTCCTCGCCTTCCTTGGCCTTCTCATCCTTCTCGTCCTCGTCCTCGCCCTCCTTGTCCTGATCCTCCTCCTGACCCGATAGCCCTCGACAGGTGCGCACTGGAGGAGGACGGGAAGGAGGAGGAGGAGGAAGAGGAGGAGGAGGAGGAGGAGGAGGAGTAGGAGAAGGAGAAGGAGGAGGGGGAGGACGGCGAGGAGGAAGGGGGGAGGAGAAAAGGGAGGAAAGGAAGGAGGGTACTGAGGGTGCTGAAGGTACTGAAGGTACTGACGATGCGGGCAGTGCAGGGTACCCCTCGCTCACTGGCGAACTGCACCGGCCCAAGAGCTGCCGACGAGCTCTGAGTCCTCGGCCCGGCCGCTCTGACAGGAGCGCTGCCGTCGAACGAGCTCTTCGGGCGAGGCGAATCCGTGCGAACGGGCAACGCTGGTGATGTCAAGTCCGAGGAGGAATAGAACGAGGAGGAGGAGGAAGGGACGAAGGAGGAGGAGGAGGAGGCGGGGGTAGGAGGAGGAGGCGGGGGTAGGAGGGAGGAGGAGGGGGGAGGAAGGAGGGGAGGGGAGGAGGAGGAGGGAGGAGGAGGTTAGGAGGGAGAGAGGGGAGGAAGAGGAGGGAGAGGGCGAGGGGGAGGAGCAGGAGGACGAGGAGGAGGAAGAGGGAGGAGGAGGACGAGGAGGTGGAGGAGGAGGCGGAAGAGGAGGAGGGGGCGGGAGGGGGGGGGCAAACTAGGTGCGCTCGCGTCATATATGACGTCCCTCCCGTCCCTGCCATTCCTTACCATGGCGTATGTATCCTCAGCCTCTCTATTCGCACAGTCGGATGTCGAGCAGAGCAATGATCGCGAGAGGGTGCATCGGAGAGTAAATGGATAGTCTTCGAAGGGTCGGGGCTGGTCTGGAGTCGCGGCTCCATGTTTAGCTCCCTGGGCTCCGCGACAAGCTGCCCACAAGGCGGGGTCGATGGAGAGCAACTGCTGGTTCTGCTTGCAACATCGCCTTCTGAAAGCAGAAGCGGGGCTCCCGCTTGATACTTTCTCCAAACGCCGCCGCCCCGAAGTGGGGGGGGTCTGAACTCAACGAATCGGCACGAGATGTGCAATCACCTGCGATGCTTTTGTTGTTCTAGGGGTAATTTTCTGTACTCGAGGCCTATTTGGAAGCACCGAAAAACGCCCGCGCTGCAACGGAAACACGGTTTGAAACAACCAGAGGCGCAGAAATGGGGCCAGCGCTGCAGCGGCAGCAACATATTGAAGGACCGAAAAGAATTTGATCGCCAAAAACACATATGAAAACTAGGAGATGAGGCCAGCGCTGCAGCGGAAGCACGATTCGGAACGAGCAGAAGCGCGGAAATGAGGCCAGCGCTGCAGCGGGAGAACGATTCGGGATGAGCGGAAGGCCGAAAATGAGGCCAGTACTTCAGCGGGAGCAAATTCTTCAAGGGAATAAGAAAAACGAGAATTCTGTGTGTAACAAAACCGTACACGGAGGGGGAGCCGCGGAGAGAGGAGAATTGTATTCATAGTGTAATTGCGCAGGGGGAGGAGGGGGAGGAGGGAGGACAAGCTAGGTGCGCAAACGTCATATCTGACGTCCGACCCCTCCCTCCCATCCCTTACCATTGCGTAGATTTCCTTTCTATTCGCAACTGACGGAGGTCGAACAGGGCAATTATTCAGAGAGTAAGCGATGCATGATATAGTACGGAATAGCATGGCATCGCGTCGAGAATGCGACCCATTTCGACAACAAGGTCAGAGGGAAACCAGAAATGGCACAGGACGGTCTGGAAACGGGGGACAGAGAGGTGAGATATGCGCTGCAGCTGGAGCCCGATTTCGAAGGACCAAAACCGCAGACATGAGACCAACGTTGCAGTGAGAGCATGATTTGGAAGGACTGAAAGCGCGGAAACGGAGCCAAAGCTGCAGCAGAAGCACGATCTAGAACAAAACAAGCCATGGAATGACGTCAACGCTACAGCGGGAACATGACTTGGAAGGGCCAAGGGCGGGACAACGGAGCCAGCGAGGAAGCAGGAGAGACATTCTGAGAGGATGGCACACGGTCGGGTTGGAAACAAAACACGTATGAATTATCAGTTCAAAGGCATCCCGTGTAAAAACAATACGCGGATGAGGCCAGGACACCTCACCAGCGTCTTCGGGGGAGAGAGGAGAGTAGCATTCGTAGTGAGTAACTGTGGAGAACGGAGGGGGGGAGGAGGAGGAGGTAAGGTAAGGTAAGCCAGCGCCCTAAAGGCAGTTTGCCGTACGGGACGGCGCGGGCCTGCCTCCTCAGATGACCACGTCCAGGAGGTGGGCAACACCTTGCGGGGTCAGGGAGAGGCCCGCCTGAAAGACAACCCCTTCGCCGACCCCGATCCCGTCGCCCTCAGGCGACAGGCCCAAAACCTGCAGGCCTAGCCAGCGCCCTCGCGCATCGCCGCGGCCCACTCGAGGAAGGTGTTCCAGCAGCCGCCGTCCTTGAAGTATTTCGCGAGCGCCTTCAGGCTCTCGTCACACAGCTTGAGGCCGTTGCTCTCCAACCTGAGCTTTACGTCCTCCAGCTCTTTGATGTCCTTGTAGGCCTCCGTGCCGACCGCCACTTCGAGGTATGAGGCCCTCGGGCGTGGATCACGAAGACCATGGCCAGGGCCGCCACCACCACCAGGCGCATGTAGGACCTTGTCGATGGTGTCGGTCTTGAGCCTCGCCACTGCTGCACGCTGCGCCCATACCAGCTCCACCTTGGAGAAGGCCTCGGCGTTCTGCTGCAGCACCGCCTTGAACGTATCGTCATCCTGAGTCGCAGATCCATCCAGCGGCTTCGGCCGCTGGTCCTTCCGCCCACTCACGCCCATGTCCATGTTGGAGCTCATCTGCACGTTGACGGAGTCCTGCTGCTTCGAGCCCTCCGCCGTTACGACAAGCTTCTCGTCGTCGGGAGCCGCTGCACTGCCCAGCGGGTTCAGTCGCTGGTCCTGCAGCCCCCTCATGCCCACGTAGATGTCATTGTGATTACTGCCCGCGATCTCGACGATCGTCTCAGCGCCGGCGGTGTCCAGCTTCTCTGCGGCCGCATCCGCCACGCCAGGCATCTGGTAGTCCGTGTTGAGGCTCTCCTGCTCGTCGATGGTGACCAGCTGCTGCGCGCCCACATCCATCACGGCAGGCTCCTCATGCTTCGTGTCGAAGTCGTCCAGATCGAGGTACCACATGTTGACTCCATTCAACCATTCCTCCTCGATGTCCTGGGCGTCCAGGGAGTACATCATGACCAGCTTGGGCATCCCGGCCTCCTGCGCCGTGGGGCTCTTCAGCGGCGCGGGCTGCGCGACCGCCGCCTCCAGGGCGCGCTGCTGAACATCTGGTCCTTCCTGTCCTTCCTGTCCTTCTTCTCCTTCTTGCGGGCCTCCTTCTCCGCCTTGCGCTGCTCGCGGATCTCGCGGTGCTTGCGAAGCTGGCGGAGCTCCTCCCATTCGGCCTCCTCCTTGTGCGCCTCCAGCGCGTCGAAGAACACCTGGCGAGCCGACGGCCTTGGCGAGCTGGGGCTCGGAGTAGCCGCCGATGGCGCCGTCGATGGAGTGGGCCCCCGCGTCCAGCGGTTCCTGCGCTGGAGCACGCCGCCCTGGTCGCCCTCCTTGCCCTGGGGTTCGTTCACCTGGCCGTCCTCCAGCGCTAGCCAGGGGGGCTCCACTGGCGGTGTCGAACTCGGCCGAGCCCGCGCCTTGGGCCGCGGCGCCTCCGTGGGGGGCGGGCGCGGCGGCTGCGCTGGCATCTCTTGCCACAAGCCTGGTGGCGGCTCGAACGGCGGGCTGTTGAAGGCCGCCTCGAGCGCCGCCGCCACCGCCGATGAGACCACCGTCGCCATCGCTTCGCGCCTCCATGCCATGTAGGGAGGTCCAGTTGCTCTGGGATTATCAGACTTTGGCTCGCAGACACGAGCACCACTTCGAAGTACGTGCCTGCAACACTCTCGAGTGCGAAATGGCTAGGAGGAGGAGGAGGAGGAGGAGGAGAAGGACAAGGAGGAGGAGGCGGATGAGGAGGACTTGAGGTGGTATGGCTTTGGGGTGCCTTAACCCCGCTAGTGGGCCCTGCTCCCCGAAGGCACCACCTTGTAGGACACGGTGGCCCGATGGGTCATGTGAGTCATGTGGCCTGGGGCCATCTGTGTCCAGGCCGCGCGGGCTGGGCCAACGAATCAAGACAGCCTGGGTAAACAGCCCAGGCACTGCGACTCCAGCGTGACCATGCATCTTGGCACCTTCCAGGGCCGCATGAAATCATTGGCACCAGACCTGACATCACAGCCCTTCTTTAGATCGGGGGTGCACCTACGTGTCTCCTGTAATCACGCCTTCCTCCCCCACCCGTCCCCTTCAATGTTGCTGTATGTTCACCAGCTGGGGATTGGATGATGCGGGGTGGGGAAGAAAGCAGGTGGCGGAGGGGAGGGGGGAATCTCGAGGATATGCCAGCGTGGGCTGGACTGTGGCGCACAACGAGCACACCAGAGGATCCGTTAATCTCATGTAGGCGCGAAACACGCGCCAGAATCCTTATAAGGCGCTAGCAGCGCCTCATAAGTCCTCATATTCGTGATTAACACAAGGCATCTTGGGTCAAGGTCATGTCCTCAACGCTCCGTCGGCCATTTCTGACCGTCGGTAGTGTTTCTACCGTCGGTCAATGTCCGAATCTTCTCTACGTGAACTTCTCTATGAACGACGCGAGGCCGTCCAAGCAGGCCAAAGATGAGCTGACACTCGGATGCCAACGCCTTTTCGGGCATCTCAGCTGGCACAGCCCAGAATGCCGCACGAAGGCACAATGGCGGTGCAGTGGGCGTGCTGGCCGAAGCCGCGGCGACAGGGTGACGGCGGCCGGGGAACCGCTCTCACCCCAGTTTCCTGAGCAGGAGCGTGGGAGGAGAAAGGGGGTCAGAGGAGGGGGTGAGCGGCCCAAGCTCCGGTGACCTCGCGCCTGTGGAGAAAGGGATGCCATGCCTGCAGCGGCTGTAAGAACGGCTCGCGGCCGTCCAAGCAGGCCACAGCTGAGCTGACACTCGGGTCCCAACGCTTGTTCATCGACAAGGACGGGCATCCCAGCTCGCACCTAACCAGAATGCCGCATGAAGGCACGGTGGCGGTGCAGCGGGCGTGCTGGCCGAGGCCACGGGGAGGGGCAGGGTGACGGCGGCCAGGGAATCGCTACCTCACCCAAGTGTCCTGAGTAGGAGCGAGGAAGAGGAAGAGGAGGAGGAGGAGGAGGAGGAGGAGGAGGAGGAGGGGGAGAGGAGGCGGAAGGAGGCGGAGGGAGGGCGGAGGGAGACGGAGAACAGGCGGAAGGCAGTCCTCCGCGTACTTCTTGGCGCGCCGGCGCTGCAGCTTCGAGCCGCGGATCTCCAGGATCAGGTCCCGCTCGAAGAGCTCGATCTCGGCGTCCGCCACGCGGGCCACCTTGCGGGGCAGCAGGAATATTTCGGGAGGCGAGGGGTTGGTCGAGGGAGGACTGTGTGCGAGTCTGGGGACGGCCCACCTCCTCCTCCTCCTCCTCCTCCTCCTCCTCCTCCTCCTCCTCCTCCTCCTCCTCCTCCTCCTCCTCAGTTTGCCAGCTGGCTGCCGGCTGGGCCGAAGAACACTGGGAACCATTCGGAAGGGTCTGTCACGGCAACACCCCTCTGGCAGGCAAAAAGGGGGCGGCGGATCTGGCGACCTTCGGCCCATCCGGCCGCCATGCACAGAAGGCCCGTGGAAATCTCTTGGGGGGCCTTTGGGGATATCTTGGGCCCTCTTGAACCGTCTCGGAACGTCTGAGGGCCTTCCTCGTGCCACCTTGCTGGGAGCAGGGAAGACTGGGAAGGAGAAGGGCGCGAGATCTCGACGCATCGCGGCTGTCACCACGGTGCGAGTCAGAGGGTCGCCCAGCAGATCGAACACCGCGCGAGATGGACCTTGCGGAGAGCAGGCGTGTTCTGTCGACCCCACTTCTGTCCTTCATAGCCATGTGACAGTCGGCTGACTCCCTCGCTCTCTTTCTCTCTCTCTCTCTCTCTCTATCTGATATTGGTCTTGATCTGTTGCGTTCAGAACGCGGAAACCAAGATCTCAAGCTCAGAAGAAGCATTTGTTTATGTGTACACATATACATATATATCTGTGTGTGTACAAATGTATTGATATTCATATGTGGCCCTCCGTACTGTAAGTACACATATGCTAGAACCATCGCGCGCGCTTCGCGCGCGCTCAAATTCTCCGTGCAGGGGGCCTAACGTATAGCGCGTCAGAGGGGCCGTGTCCGGGTGATCGGGCCACTGGCTTGGAAGCCCACGCGTTGGCGTCTGAAGTCGCATTGGGGTTTGGTATTCGCGTTAGTCCTCGGCCATCCTTGGGCAATATTGCAACTCTCGTCAAAACAATTTGGGCCTCCGAGGCCACCTTGGAGCCAAGCTTTCACAACACATGGAAACTTCATAATATAAATGACAACACGTTGAGATCCTTTTTGGTTTTTGACTGGCCTGGCCCTCTTGAAGTCCTGTGTGGGCACTCTGGCAGCCACTTGGGCCCGCAGTGTGCTGCTGGAGACTCCCTGGGGCAGTCTGGGGGGCTCCTGGGACCGTCATGGGGCCCTCGTGGAATTGTGCGCAGCTCCGCGAGCCTCCTGAGGGAGCTCCGAGGAGGAGAGGAGGAGAGGAGGAACGGAGGACAGAAGGAAACCTGAGATCGGTCTTTCACTAGAGCTGCGACCAAACAACTATTTGTGCTCTTCAATGTTTGGTTTTCTCTACTTAACTCGAGCTGTAGGCAAGCCACGGAGCTACACCGTTCAAGAGGAACTGATCAGGAGCATTCGCCTGCAGAACCGAGACGTCCGAGATCGGTCTGCTGCCAGAACTACGACTAAGAATTCGATTCCCACTCTGCAAATCCCACCAGCCCTTTAGGGCGTGAGTGGTTTAGCGAGCCCCCTCTGTCCTCAACCCCCCTTCTTCCCCTTCGGGGAGGGGTTTACCCCTCCCCCTACCCCCTCCCCCTGGGCCTGGACAGGGAGTTCCGCGGGTCGTCAGGGGGGTCTTTTTCGACGCCTGGGAGGGCCAAAAAACGACGACCCTCACGAGGATTCTGGCCCCGACGGGGGGGCACTCTTGTAGCCCCCTCCTCTTCTGTGCAGCCAAAATCATTGCTTTTACGAGGGTTTGGGCCCCATTTTGGCCTCCCGAGGGGGCCGCGCTCATCTTCCTTCATAGCAAAATCATTGATTTTACGAGGGTTTTGGGCTCATTTTGTCTTTCTCAGGGGGCAGCGCTTCGTGGCGCTTCTGAGGAGGTCGCAAGAGGCCCCAAGATGGCCCCAAGAGGCCCCCAGGAGCCTCCCAAGAGGCCTCCAAGAGGCCCCCAAGAGGCCCCCAAGAGGCCCCAAGAGGCCCCCAAGAGGCCCCCAAGAGGCCCCCAGAGGCCCCAGGAGGCCCCCAAGAGGCCCCCAAGAGGCCCCCAAGAGGCCCCAAGAGGCTCCAAGAGGCCGCCAAGAGGCCCCACGAGGAGCCCGAACGACTCACACCAGGACGAGGGGCCCGAACGACTCATACCACGAAGAACCCGAACGACTCACGCCAGAAGGAGGACCCCGAACGACTCCTACCAGGACGAGGCGCCGGACCCATTCACACCACGAGGAGCCCGAGCGACTCACACCACGACGCGCGCCTCGAACGACTCACACCACGAGGAGCCCGAACGAGTCACACCAGGAGGAGGGGCAGCGCTCATACAAGCCCCCCAAGAGGCCCCCAAGAGGTCCACCGAGGCTCCAAGAGGCCCCCAAGATGGCCTCACGAGGAGCCCGAACGACTCACACCAGGACGAGGGGCCCGAACGACTCACACCACGAAGAGCCCGAACGACTCACACCACAAGGAGGGGCCCGAACGACTCACACCAGGACGAGGCGCCCGAACGACTCACACCACGAGGACCCGAACGACTCACACCACGACGCGGGCCCCGAACGACTCACACCACGAGGAGCCCGAACGAGTCACACCAGGAGGAGGGGCCCGAACGACTCACACCAGGATGAGGGGCCCGAACAACTCACACCACGAGAAGCCCGAACGACTCACACCAGGACGAAGAGCCCGAACGACTCACACCACGAAGAGCCCGAACGACTCACACCAGGAAGAAGGGCCCGAACGACTCACACCAGGACGAGAAACCCCAAACGACTCAAATCACGAGGAGCGCTTTCTCTCCCTCCTCCTCCGCCTCGTCCTTCTCCCGCTCCCCCCACAAGGAGGATGTACAAGGAGGCGGGAGGAAGGAGGAACAGGGGAGATATGCGGGGCCAAACGGACACACGCCTGAAAAACACGACTGTCGGCATGCTTCGCATGAGTTGCTGTTGTGAGATGGGCTGGTGGGGATACGCGAAGCGTAAAGAATTTTGAGAGTTGAAAGCGGGAGAGGGCGAGGACCCAGCGATCCGATGTCGTGATTTTTTCAATACGGGGTCCCTGGAAGTCTCGACCCATTTCCCAGGACCGGTGTTATCCTGAGTCGTTTTCTGACAGCCCCGGGGCCCGGCGAAGGCCTAGAGGTCGAAAATTATGAAAAACTCCGCCTTGATTTTTTCAATACGCTGGATCTCTGGGGAGGAGAGAAGGAAAGCAGGCGAGGGCGAGGACAGGAGGAGGCTCCGGGGAGGCCCCCGGGGGGCGGCTCCCACGCAGGGGAGGCGCCACGCAGAGGGGGGCCCGGGCGCCCAGCGTGCGCCGCGGCCCTGGGCCCCCAGAGGTGGGGCTTTCTGTCTGTGGATGGAAAGAGGTGGTGCCAGGAGGCTGGCGGAGGGGCTCCTCCTCCTCCTCCTCCTCCTCCTCCTCCTCCTCCTCCTCCTCCTCCTCCTCCCCCTCCTCCTCCTCCTCCTCCTTCTCCTCCTCCTCCTCCTCGTGTTGGCGGCGCGCACACGGGGGTGGGCGGAGGGGGGAGGGCTTTTTGGTAGCCGGCTGCTTCTTGGAAGGCGCCGGCCTTACATCTATACGGACCAAGCCCGCGCCTTCTAAGCAGCAGGGGTGCTTCTAAGAAGCCTTCCGCCCTCCCCCCACCCCTCTCGGCGCGCGGCTGCAAGTGTCCGGATTAGGGGAACGAGCCAGGGGCCCAGCGCCGATCCGAGAACTCCGCGCGGACCTCCGAGCTTTGATGTCTATGCCCTTGCTCGTTCCCCGATGGATACCCTCTGGAATGGAGGTGTCTTCGATTTGAGGCGTCGTGCAAGATGCATCTCGCAGTCTCTACGGGTGCCGCTCGGGGGACTCGTGGGGGGCCGTTTGGGCGTCTATTGGGGACCTCTTTGGGGCGTCTCGAAAGCTTCTTGGGGGGGCTCGGGGGGCCTCTTGGGGACCGCCGGGATGCTCAGGGGGCCCCTTGGCGCCGAGGGCGATCGCAGGACCGGCCACTCGGGGCCCCCGGGGGGGTTCTCCTGGAGCCGTCTTGGGGCGTTTTGGGGGCATCTCGGGCGTTCTTGAGGCCATCTTCGGCCGTCCTCGAGCAGTCTGGAAGCCACCTTAGACGTCCAAAACTTCTACGGTGGGTCTGGGGGCTTCGGGGAAGGCTCCCGGGAAGCTCAAGGGGCGCACGAGGGAGGCTCCGGGAGGGGAAGGGGCACTTCGTGTGCAATCGTGGCCCCAGGTGGTCCTGTGCCCTTGGGCCCCATGTGCCAGATTTCCGGTACATGGTACGCTTATGTGTATATATATAACAAAAAACAAACAAAACAAACACCAAAGCAACAACAACAACAACAACAACAACAACAACAACAACGACAACAACAACAAACAACAACAACCACAACCACAACCACAACCACAACCACAACAACCACAACAACCACAACAACCACAACAACCACAACAACCACAACAACCACAACAACCACAACAACCACAACCACAACAGCAACAACAGCAACAACAACAACGACAACAACGACAACAGCTACAACAACAACAACAACAACAACAACAACAACAACAACAACAACAACAACAACAACAACAACAACAACAACATTACACTTATTATCCGGGGCTCCCAAGAACCACGAAGACGGCCCAAGCGGCTTCCAAGACTTCCTACGGTCCGCCCACGACCGCTTAAGACAGGCCCAAAAGGGACTTCGGGGGTCCTTTTATTCGCCGCGGCTGGACGTAGCCGGAGGAAGAGGGAGGAGAAGGGGAGGTGAAGGGGTTCCCTGGGGGAGAAGAAGAAGGAGGATGAGGAAGAATTGGAGAGAAGGGAGGAGGCCGCAGACGAGGAGAGGGAACCGGAGGAGGAGGAGGAAACATCATATTTCCTTGTTCGCAAGCGTAGCGAAGCTGCCAGGCGAACTGAAAATAAAAAATGTTGGAGTTCCCATTTTTCTCAAGAGTCCTCGGGGCCTCTCTCGGTACTCTTTTAGGCCTCGTTAGGGCTTCTCGGGAACCTCTTGAAGCCTCTTGGAGTCTCCTGGGGCGAAGATCTCGGGTTCTCGGTTC